GTATCGCTGAATCATTTATTGTATAGCGCCCTCATACTGAAATACTTTTGTTTTTACAAGTCGGCTGCTAATAAAGTATTCGTTATTTACAAATTGTCTTGTGTCTAAGAGTTCTTTGAAATGATGTTTATATAATATCTTGATTAAATATATAAACTTTTTTTAGCCATAGTTAAGTAGCTGAAGCGAGTGATACTACAAACAAATGTTTAGCAAACCCATCAAGTCTTGTTTGTATTAAAGATGTTGTTTCAATGAATACATTGTATAGCTTTCTTTTAATGGAATCTGACACAAATTCAGTTTTGAAGAAAAACAAAGCTGATACATGTATCATATCGGGGGTACTTCCACATCACGCTAAATTAAAAAGATACAGCTCTAAAACTGGTACTCAACATGTCAAAGACAAATACAATGTAGTAGAAGCCACACTCTTCATTTATTGCACAAACTAATAAAACAAAGTTAAAAATAAATTATACTATGTTATCATAAAAACAAGTTCATAATTGGAGTGACCTCATTAACATCTTTTCAATCATTAACTGAATCATAAATAGCTGAGAAATATTCTAACGAAGAAAAACTGCACGACAAACTCTAATTTTAACTTTTGTTCTTTTGAAATGAAATCCATAAAGTATGTGGATCTTGCAAAAATATGAATGCAAATGAATGATTTCAATGCGATGTTCATCACACAACAAATACAGTGTTTTGCTACCCTTATCCATTGGCTAACTATGTTATGTACCTCTCTGATGTTCCTGTCATTCCAGCAACTTTATTCAATGATAAGCCACCAGGAATATATTTATGCTAAAATATACACATTAAAATGATACAGTTGAATTTAAAAATGTGAAAGTCAAATTAATTTCTTATTCAACAGAAGAGATTCACAGGCATTCTTATGAGTAAATAATTCAAGTTAATTTCCTATTCAGATTTTGAGTAGATCATTACGATTGATTTCCTATTCAACAGGAGAGATTCACAGGTATTCCTAAGAGTAAATAATTCAAGTTAATTTCCTATTCAGATTCTGAGTAGATCATTACGGTTGATTTCCTATTCAACACGAGAGATTCACTGGTATTCCTATAAGTAGATCATTCTTTGGTGAACATGTGGGTGGTTCCATCGTACACACGCTTACATTATAACCTTTCTCTCTTGCAGCTTCTGCTCTATCAAAGTCAATCAGAGCCATACTGGTCTTTCCTGTAAAAGCAAAAGACAAAATACTATCACATACATAACAGGTCAGAGACTAGTATCTTTACTGTCTTGTGAGTTGGTAGCTTGTTACATTGTTGTCTTATTGCTAGACTATAACAAATATTATGCTGTAAATGTATTAATTATTCACTGGCGCATAATTTTGATATTTTAACTCATATGAACATGTCAATTACAATAGAATGAATGCATTGTTTCACTTGCAAATATGTGAACACAAAACCCGATGAATATGCTCAAAGCATTTAAGATGAATGGTTTTATTTTACCACATTCACAGTACCATTGTCCTGGTAGTGTTTATTTATGTAACTTCATGCTTGATCTTTTGCTTTTGTAATTGTCATTTTTTTTTCTCATATGCATATTAGTACCGTCAAATCTGTATTAGAAGCTGCATCCTCAATAGAAGTCGCACACATTCTTTTTGAATAATTGAGAACCCAAAATTCATCATTTCTCATGTAAATACTCTAATAGAAGTCGCACCCCTTCTTTTGCTTTGTCCAATTTTAATAGAAGCTGCGGCTTCTAATACAGATTTTACAGTAACTATAGTTTTGGTTTGTACATAACTAGATTAGTAATTTGCACATATTTGGCTAAGTATCAAAGATTGGAATTTTTGTGCAGAATGCGACATTTCCTTAACTATTGAAAATGTTGGCCAAGCTGGGCTTGAACCACAACATGTATAATCTATCTTCTGAACCAGTCATTACAGTTAAAGGCACAGTTATGGCATTGTCCCTTCTCCTTTGATCTTACCTTGCTTAGCTATTTCAGATTGGAACTGCCATGGTGTCTGATCCGCAGAGTGACCCAAGAGAATGTACTCCTTTAATAAAAGAAAATATGATAATAACAATTTTGAAAAATATCTTGGAATGATACGCAGATTAAACAAGAATTTCAACAAAACGACCTATTAGTCGAAATAGCTTGACTGTCATTGCAGAGTTTCTTCTTCAAAACAAAGTTCATAAATGTACTGTATGATATATTAACTATTGCCATGGGGTACGGGGGGGGGGGGGGTATTAGCGTGTCCACAATGTTCTTGTCATATCACAACCAAGAAACTTTATTTGCTTGTTGCCATGGTAATTACAATTGTTCACATCTTGTTTAAAATCTAACAGAAGTCAACCAATTGACCCTACCATACCAAGTACCAAAGCAATTGAGTCAGTAGTTTTCAAGAAGAAGATGAAAATAGACAATCACCAACATGAACAGTGTCGCTCTGTCATCTTTGATGACAGTGGAGCTAAAAAATACAAAACACACTTATTAAATTAGATCTCTTCCTACCTCTTCTGTAAGTTCATTTCTCATCTTCTGACTTCTTGGATAAGTAATAACGTGTGTTGTGTGTACGCTGCCATAGCAACAAGGTGCTGACACAAATGCTGCATTGCACTGTATACACTTATCCAGAACCATATCAGTTGCAACCCCACATGCATGCAATGATACCTACAACCCGAAACAAACGAGTTATTAAGTACAAGGCCAAGTAAAACAATTACAGAAGTGATGGGCCTTGATTACATGCGTTCGGATACAAACTCAGTTTTCTTGCATATAATAGATTCAGCGATAAATTTACACCATGATTAGAAATACATGTGTATTGATTTCAAGAATGTGTGTGTGTATGTGTACATTGTATTTAAATGTGTCAATTGCAGTTAGTGTGGTTAGTATGATGGATCACTATAGCGTGATGTTGCAGTTCTTGCTGGTGGTTTGACAGTCGATACAAGACATTCATGTCTATAATATCTATTATGACACACACTTATATGACAGACATAATACAAACCAGAGCTGGTCTGTGTGTGAGATTCCTTCCTTCCTTACATTATGCATTCCTAGCACTAAAATAGCTGCCAATTAACCATAATGAATCAAATTGTAAAACAAATGGATGTGCAAATGTGTGAAGTTTGAACATGTTCAGCCACGCCA